TTTAAAGCATCTGCTGTGTGTATTCTTCTGGTTACTTAGCTAGTTTTCCCCTTTGTCTACTAAATTAAATAAATTAAAGATACAGCTGATTTTATTATAAAGGATATGCTTCTCTTTCTGTAATGAAGTTTGTCTGTGACTGAAATGATCAATTTTATCTCTTAAAAGTAAAATTTTTTTTTTTTAAATAGATAGAATTCAAGCAAGAAAAGTCTGTAGGTTTAAAGTCAGTTAATTATGGGCTTGAATTAATGAAAAAAGCTGCACAATGTGGCACAAAGCTGCTTATTTTGGACACCGATAGTGAGTTACTGTCCACTCTCCGGTCTGCCTTTAATTTCATGCTGTGAATATCTAAAAGTGATCAGGTTAGTTTGCTTAACAAAGAGCTGATGGTCATATTCAAACCTCTTCACCTTTTAAATTAACAACAAGGATTCTCTGGTCCATCAGTGGAGATTTGTGGTCCAAAATCGGCACTAAAAACATCTTAAAATGGACTGAGCTGATTGGTTGAGTTGACTCAAAACTCTCAAACATTTAAACAAGCAAATCAATAGTTTTTTAACAGTGTATTAAAGTTATTGTTCTTTTTTTTTTACCCAGCAAACTCAATTAAATGTCTGTTCCCTCTTTTAGAGCCATTCAAGAAACAATCAGGTTTCTACAGCATTCGACAATCAAGCTGTTGATTTCTTTCTTTTTTCTCTCAGAATAAAGAATAGAATAGAATATCTTTACTGTCACAAAAATAATTACAGCAATTTGGCACTTCGCAGTGGCAGTGTGGTAAATTAAATTTAGTTGAAAGTTTTTTTTTAGAAGACTATAAACAATGGGGATGTTTTTCATTGGAATACTCTTAGTTTTATACATATTTTAAACATGTCGTTTTTGTTGGATATCCACTCATACATTTGTAAAATGTGGAAATGACTAATTATTGAGATCAGTTAGATTAAATCTGTTTTCCTGTGTGTTTAAGGGGAAAAGCAGCAGGTGGAAAGCGAAACAGAACTAGCATAGCATTCGAATGAAACCAAAAAAACAACAACATTATTACATTATTCTGAAAATTTTCCTGGTTTTTAGGCAATGCTCGGAGTGTGACCAGGCCAGCAGCGACGAGGCCGACATCGCCATGGAAACGCTGCCGGATGGCACCAAGAGATCCAGGAGGCAGATCAAAGGACCAATCAAATTCATCCCACAGGAGATGTCGCCAGAACCCAAGAAACAGCAAGTGAGAGGCACGGTGTGTACGAAAATTAAGTGTGAAGGCATCCCAATACAGCCCAGACCAGGAAGCGGCCATTTTAAACCTTAAAAACTCATCACCTTTAGCTAACTAATCTTAGCTAATAAGCAACACGATTCAGGCTTTAGTCACTCGGGGACAAAACAAGGAGAGACAGATTATTTTTATTAATCAACAACTTTAACTCATTGACTGGCAGCCATTTTCAGAACAGAGAGTCCCATACTGCCAGAGTTTTTTTTAGCATTTTGACAGATTTTTCAAGAGCCACAGAATAGTTTGTGCTATGACTATGTAAACACCGAACACACCAAAAGAAAGAGTAGAGTCTTCTTTCATCAGGAAAAAAAAATTGTTTCTACCTTATTCCGTTCTTCATGGACTTGCGTCTCACCGGCGACATGTTCTCTCATAGCGAACCGTTACCTTTTTCTTATTTGCCTACAGTCTATGCTCATCTCCCATCAAAAGTGGCACTGCCCCCTAGAGGGTCAATTTGTTACTACATACTCTGTCTAGAAGCCGATATTTACGGACAAGCTTTAGCGGATCGTCCCCCAGCCACTCTCGTTGAAAAACATAAAAGACGTCTATAGACGTCTTTGGCAGGCAATGAGTTAATCAAGTTGTTATAATTCGATATTAATCTGTTTCTTTCAGCAGGGGATAAATAAAGCTTCTTGAATCTTGAAGTGAGAAGCAGAAAAACGGTGGAAAATTGGATAAAATTGCAGGAAAAGCAGCTCCGGCTGTGTTAAACTGCACTTGAATGTCAGCTTAAAATAAACTGTGTGGAGACGTCGTCCTCCACTCAGAGTTTCATTCGACTGATTCTGATCTTTGGTTTTTAACCCTTTAAAGCCCAATCCAAGAATAAAACAAAATAGAAAATTACTTTTTTTTCGTTTGAATTCCTTATTTGGCCTTTTAACAAAATATGTAAAAAGAAAAAACAAAAATACATTTTTGATATTAATAATTTATTACTATGCGATAAATCAAGATTATGTTTTGTGTGGTCTTCTGCCCCCTGTTATCAGGTGTATCTGATTGTGTACAATAGGATTTGGAGCAAAGTTTTTACCATTAGATTATGCAAAAGGTGTCAGACGCAAAACATTTCAGAAACCGTATGAATCAAATATGATACATTTGGCATTACAGGGTTAACTTAAAAATCAGCGTGTGCAGCTACCGTAATGCCTGTGGTAAACGGGCCTCTCCTTTTTTGTGTCTCCGTTTTTCTGTGGAAGGATTCGGCTTTGCTCTTTCTCTCTTTTGCTCTCCGGAGCTGCTATCTGATCCGGCCAGAAAACGTCAGCTCTCCACTCTCTCAAGAAACACTTGAGATTGATATCAGACTTCTTGGCAGTGGAGGATTTATCGGAGTGCCTTTCATTTCCCTTTTTTTCCGATACGTGACAGGGCCGTCTATATTCCACGCAGTCTCCGTTTCAAACATGGCAACGAATAAAGAGAGGAGTGTGTTGTGGAAATTCTGAAGCAAAAGTCTGAGTCCGTTTAAGAGAGTAGAGATAGAAAATTTATTAAAGAGAAATTCATGGAGTGAGAGCAACCGGCCCGTGCCATGCAACGTATCAAGCTACTCCAAAGTAAAACAAAGTCATAGTACATTTTATACCCCTCTCTGAGCTTTAGAAGTGGGTAAAATCCGTCTCCCATCATAGAGAAACCAAACAATCCTCCAGCCAAAACATTAAAGGAGTCATATTATACCCTATTTCAACAAGTTAAGCTAGTTCCCTGGTGTCCTAATGTAATGTCTGTGACAAGCTTTGGTCAAAATCCCATAAGGATGAAGCCCAATAGCAGTTCAGTCCCCCTGCCTAACCCTAACCCTAACCCTAACCCAAAACAGCCCCGTTCAGAGCGCTCGCTTTGGAGTGCCTGTCTCTTTAAATGCAAATGAGACACAGGCAATCCACCCACTTCTTCCGGGAGGTGTGCCCACGTCGGAACGCTAACGCTACCATGCTAACGCTACCATGCTAACGCTACCATGCTAACGCTCACGCTACCACGACGTCTGCCACAGACTTGTTTTTGCACAATATGTCCCCTTTAAAGGTGTTTAACCTTTAAAATGAGACTCATAACAGAAAGAATAACACCAAATACATCAGATACCTTAAAAAATACACTCCAAACCTCCATGTTTGGTGCCTCTTAAGTTAGTTTCCACTCAGTATTTTAGTATCTTATCAAAGTCTTTTTGATTCGGTACAAATTCTTAGTGATTTTTTTCTTTAAATGATTTGTAAAAGGGGCGGCACGGTGGTGTGCTGGTTAGCACTTTCACCTCCCAGCAAGAGGGTTCTGGGTTCGAATCCCGGGGGAACCAGGACCTTTCTGGGTGGAGTCTGCATGTTCTCCCTGTGTCTGCGTGGGTTCTCTCCGGGTTCTCCGGCTTCCTCCCACAGTCCAAAAACCTGCATGTTAGGCTGATTGGAGATTGGGGAAATTGCCCTTAGGAGTGAATGTGAGTGTGAGTGGTTGTTGGTCCTTGTGTGTCTCTGTGTGTGTCCCTGCGATAGACTGGGGGTACCCTGCCTCTCGCCCGTTGACCACTGGGATAGGCTCCAGTTCCCCCCGCGACCCCATGAGGGAATAAGCGGTATTGATAATGGATGGATGGATGGATGGATGGATGA